AGCCTACAGCAAACATTAGTCTCAATCATGAAAAACTGAAAGCATCCCCTCTAAGATCAAGAACAAGGCAAGGGTGTCCATTTTCAGCAATATTATTCAACATAGTTTTGGAAGTCCTAGCTACAGCAATCAGAGAAGAAAAAGAAATAAAAGGAATCCAGGTTGGAAAAGAAGAAGTAAAGCTCTCACTGTTTGCAGATGACATGATACTGTACATAGAAAACCCAAAAGATTCTATCAGAAAATTAATAGATCTAACCAGTGAATTTAGCAAAGTCGCAGGATACAAAATCAATACACAGAAATCACTTGAATTCTTACATAGTGACAATGAATAATCAGAAAGAGAAATTAAGGAATCAATCCCATTCACCATTTCTTTTTTTTTTCATTTATTTTTATTAGTTGGAGGCTAATTATTTTACAATATTGTAGTGGGTTTTGTCATACATTGACATGAATCAGCCATGGATTTACATGTGTTCCCCATCCCGATCCCCCCTCCCACCTCCCTCTCTACCCAATCCCTCTGAGTCTTCCCAGTGCACCAGGCCCGAGCACTTGTCTCATGCATCCAACCTGGGCTGGTGATCTGTTTCCATTCACCATTTCAACAAAAAGAATAAAATATCTAGGAATAAACTTACCCAAGGAGACAAGCAAACTGTATACAGACAATTATAAGACACTGATGAAAGGTATCAAAGATGACATAAACACATGGAGAGATATTCCATGTTCCTAGGTAGGAAGAATCAATACTGTGAAAATGACTATACTACCAAATGCAATCTACAGATTCAATGTGATCCCTATCAAATTACCAATGGCATTTTTCACAGAACTAGAACAAAAAATTTCACAATTCATATGGAAACACAAAAGACCCCAAATAGCCAAAGCAGTCTTGAGAAAGAAGATTGGAGCTGGAGGAATCAACTTTCCTGATTTCAGATTATACTACAAAGCTACAGTCATCAAGACAGTATGGTCCTGGCACAAAAACCTATGGAACAAGATAGAAAGCCCAGAAATAAACCAATGCACCTATGGGTACCTTAGTTTTGACAAAGGAGGCAAGAATATACAATGGGGCAAAGAGAGCCTCTTCAATAAATGGTCCTGGGAAAACTGGACAGCTACATGTAAAAGAAAGAAATTAGAATGCTTCCTGACACTATACACAGATAAACTCAAAATGGATTAATGACCTAAATGTAAGACCTGAAACTATAAAATTATTAGAGGAAAATATAGGCAGAACACTCGATGACATAAATCAAAGCAAAATCTTCTATGACTCACCTCCTAGAGCAACAGAAATAAAAACAAAAGTAAACAAGTGGGACCTGATTAAACTTAATAGCTTTTACACAGCAAAGGAAACTACAAGCAAGCTGAAAAGACAACCCTCAGAATGGGAGGAAATAATAGCAAATGAAACAACTGACAAAGGATTAATTTCCAAAATATACAAGTATCTCATACAACTCAATACCAGAAAAACAAACAACCTAATCAAAAAGTGGCAAAAAAACCTAAACAGACATTTCTCCAAAGAAGACATACAGATGGCTAACAAACACATGAAAATGAGCTCAACATCGCTCATTATTAGAGAAATGCAAATCAAAACTACAATGCAGTATCACCTCACTCCAGTCAGAATGGCCATTGTCAAAAAGTCTACAAACAATAAATGCTGGAGACAGTGTGGAGAAAAGGGAACGCTCTTGCACCACTGGTGGAAATGTAAATTGATACAGCCACTATGGAAGACGGTATGGAGTTTCCTTAAAAACCTAGGAACAAAACCACCATATGATCCAGCAATCCCACTCTAGGCATATACCCTGAGGAAACCAAAATTGAAAAAGACACATGTATCCCATTGTTCACTGCAGCACTATTTGCAATAGCTGGAACATGGAAGCAAACTAGATGTCCATCAACAGATGAATGAATAAAGAAGTTGTCATACATACACAATGGAATATTACTCAGCCATAAAAAGGAACACATTTGAGTCAGTTCTGATGAGGTGGATGAACCTACAGCCTATTATACAGAGTGAAGTAAGTCAGAAAGAGAAAGTTAAATATTGTATACTGATGCATATATACCAAATCTAAAAGTTGGTACTGAAGAATTTATTTGCAAGGCAGCAATAGGGAAACAGACATAAAGAATAGACTTATGGACATGGGGAGAGGGGTGGAGAGAGGAGACGTATCGAGAGAGTAACATGGAAACTTACATTACCGTATGTAAAACAGATAGCCAAGGAAATTTGCTATATCTCTCAGGAAACTCAAACAGGGGCTCTGTATCAACCTAGAGGGGCAGGATGGGGAGGGAGATGGGAGGGAGGTTCAAAAGGGAGGGGATATATGTATAGCTATGGTTGATTCATGTTGATGTTTGACAGAAAACAACAAAATTCTGTAAAGCAATTATCTTTCACTTAAAAATGAATAAAATTTAAAAACTCTAAGTTTCATTACATCATTTAATAGTTAAAGAATATACAAACAAATTTTAAAATAACAGACTTGATTTCAGTGTAACACCATTTCAAACTAATAGGTTTGCTAAGTAACACTTTAGGGACCCCATATCATGTTTTCATTTTCAATCACTCTAATACTTGCCTGCTCATGAATAATGTCAGACAATTCTTTCACCATGTCTCTGAAATTTGACGTGAGCTCTTCATGGTGTTCAATTTGATCCTCTTTCATTAACCACTCATTTAGTTCCAGTGCAATGCTGCAAGTTTGGATGAACTTCCTGTAGATGAAGATCAAAGATAAAGTTTTTGTTACTTATTACTCAGAAGTTTCACTGACAATTTAATATTTACTTTAACCATGGCTTGACTAGAAGGAAAATTAGAATTCCACATTTTCTCACTGTGTTTTTGCTAATGCCATCTCCTAAGTCTGAAATATCTTTTCTTTTCCATCTTTGCTTCTGGTTTCTTATCTCTTTCAAAATCTAGCTCAAAATATATACCCTCTAGGAAGCCTACCTGCTCAGTCATTTACTTGATATGATATCAGCTATGGTTGTGCTCACAGTAATTTATATCTGTAGATAATGTCATTTATTCAAAAATAGCTTATTTGGGGCTATGTACCCAGTACAGTGCTGGGTGTTATAGGCATGAAGTATCTGCCCTGGGTTGGTAAAAGTGGCGACAGGGAGTTGATGACTTATCATAAGAATATTTTCCATTATTTCATATGTTTATGTTTAATGTCCATAATTAGAATGCAAAACTTAGGGGACAAAGTACCTCACTGACCATTTGTTCTGTATCCCTATCATGGCAACTAGTAGAATCTTTTTGTACATGCCAGGCATTAATACAGAGAAGGCAATGGGACCCCACTCCAGTGCTCTTGCCTGGAAAATCCCATGGATGGAAGAGCCTGGTGCACTGAAGTCCATGGGGTCGCTAAGAGTTGATCATGACTGAGCAACTTCACTTTCACTTTTCACTTTCATGCGTTGGAGAAGGAAATGGCAACCCACTCTAGTGTTCTTGCCTGGAGAATCCCAGGGACGGGGGAGCCTGGAGGGCTGCCGTCTCTGGGGTTGCACAGAGTCAGACATGGCTGAAGTGACTTAGCAGCAGCAGCAGCAGGCATTAATAAATACTGAATGAATGACCACTGGTTACTCTGTAACCTGAAATAGCTGATAATACAGAGTTAGGAAAAATAAATGAAGTTGGGAGCAAATGAGTGGAAGTTATCTTTCTAATCAGTCTGCTTTACTCATCTGTCTCTTTTATTCTGAATGTAAATTCTTTTATATACAAAACAATTTTTTTCTACTGTGTGACCATTCAAACATGCCTTGGCTTAGAGGGACTCTCAGTCCAGAGACAATATTGTATGCCCTAGACTGGCAGAATCCAAGTGGAACTAAGGATACAGGATAGAAGTAAGCCTATCCAACCCTTCCTACCTTAAATGATCTGGAAAAGCTGTGACATGAGGTCAGTCAGACAAAGGAGGAAATCACGTAATGAATGTAGGCTTCTGTTTGTGTCACAATATCCACAGCAATGAAGTGGTTGCCATATTTAATGCCTTGAGTCACTAGGAGATTGTTACAGTTCTGCAGCAAGAAAGAGATCACACATTTCCTCACTACCTAAAATACCATTAGAAGGTAACTTAAATGTTATAAAAGGGAACAGATAATTTTTTTAGGGGGACATTATTTGGTGAATATTTTGGTTTCACTTAAGAAGACAACGGAGTAAAAAAAAAATAGTGGTCTGATCTAAAAACTACAAAGCACATACCTAAACATGTCTTTCAACTCATTTACTTTTTTGGGTGGATACTTACTAGCTTGACTGTCATTTAAGAAAGCCCTTGCATATGCTAATGGACCTGCATTTACGTAAAATACAATAGGAGAAAAATGAGAGTTGTCAGAATGTAATTAAAAAGTAATTTTTTGCATTTCTCTTTTTAAAAAGAATAATATATTAAAGATCCATACCTGAGAAACATATTTGCTATCTTATTATAAATTTATTTGAAAAAGATTAGCTAAAGCAAATCATCTGCCAAAATTATACTCTAAGAAGTTACTTAACACTTTCTGCTATCTAAATGTAGGACTTGGCTATAGTCAGAGGGATTTACATTAAAGCTCTCTGACATAACAAAAAATTTACAGAAACTGAACATAATGTCTTTATTAAATTAATAAAAAATGTAGAGGTTTTTGTACCCAGTCAGAGTGTAAGACAATTACAATTAGTGCTTGTTCTGTGCCCTTATGAAAGCAAGAGGAACAACAAGAAACATTTAATACATGGTTAGCAACCAACATACATGCACTGAAACACAGCCCTGCAATTTAAGTTGGAGCTGAATCATGTCCACGTCAGCAGAAAAGCAAAGCTTTTGCAGCTCTGCAGTTTTATCTTTTATCCATGGCAACATCAATTGGCTTTAAATGAATCTGCTGTTCATAGTTTATAGAAATCCTCTACTTCACATATGGAAATGAGTTTGAAGCTATTAAAGATTAAGATAGACAAATGAGTTTTTAAGATAGTAAATCAAATAGCCAAATTAAAGAAAAAAACCTATTGTGCTTAATTCTCCCCATATTTTCTCTGGAAAATCCTTTAGAGACCAAATAGGTGCCTTATTACTTCAGGACTGAAGGAGAAATTCTCTGTGAGATGACTCAGACTAACCATGAATTACATAATTACATATGGGAAAGGAATGGTTTATAACATAGCCATGTTTGTGTAAGTGAGTGACTGAACAGCAGAACAATAAACAATTAAAATTTCAATTACATTTTCCTGCTGACCAGCTGCTGCTTGTATGTATCCAATAAAAAAATCATGTCAAATAAAGAAGTTATGCCAAGTCCTACTTACTAGTCAAGATTGTACGGCGTTTGCACTGTTCTTCTATACAACCTTGCTTTTTGCCTGACAATGTATAAGGAGCCTCAAAAACAAATCTGTTGATATTATGGTTTCTTTCAAACTCAGTTTTTCTTTCTGTGAGTTCTTTATCATCAAAGTAGGGCTTCACATAAGTGACTTGGATATGAGCATATTTGGGATCAAGCTCTTTGACATTCACCTGGAAAGTAAGAAAGTTTTGTTTTTTATTCAACAGAAGGGAAAATGGAGTACAGGTAAGCTACTAACACCTCTGAGATCAACTGAGGAACAGTGTCATTGAATACACTGTGAGATGAATACACACTTGGAAGAGGTCTTTGCTCTTTCTTCAAGGATTGTTTCCTTCTGATTATTAAGAAGTTACATAAGCCTATTTGGAGATTATAGAAATGTAGACAGAAAAAAACTGCAATGCTACCACTCGGCAATGATCATCATTTACCTTCTCATGTATTTCCTTGTAATCTTTTTCCTATGCATATATATTTATTTACAAACCAGAGATCATGCTGAGCATTGCTTTATCATTTGTTTTATTTTTATTTACTTTTATTTGCTTTTATGCTATATTAAATTTCTTTTTTATTTTCATTTATTTTATTTTTTAATATAAATTTATTTATTTTAATTGGAGGCTAATTACTTTACAATATTGTACTGGTTTTGCCATACATTGAGTTGAATCTGCCATGGTTGTACATGTGTTCCCATATGTTAAAATGGCTAACTGCACATTTGAATTCCACCTCAAAAAATACCTATTACAGAGAGGATCCTCAGAAGATGGCAGAGCACCAGACATCTATCTTCTTATAGAGACAATAGTTACACCGTCATTACCTATCTGGTGGAACAATTTTGGAACTCTGGAGGCTATTGAAGACTTGCAACTTCCAGGGAAGATTTGGACAGAAAATTGCCTTAATTTTGATTTTGTTCAATTTTAACTCTGGGCACAATGGCAACAACCCATACCTCATCCCTCAGGTACTATGGCAGATAGTTGTGTACATATTCCTAGAACAGCTTGTGGGAGCCAGGATGAACAAAGGCCCTGTCTTCCAAATATCGTGAATCTGTGCTATGACTGCTGATTGCTGCTTCTGATCACAGGGGGACAGTCAAAGAGGCTGTGGCCATTTTTATACCACTTCTTCCCTTTGTTGCAATGCCCTCCCCCTCTGCCTAAAGTGACTTTCAGGGGATTTAACAGACCAGCACCTTTCCTCTCCTCTTCATTTTCCTCTCCATCCCCTCTTAGGAGCTGGACTTCCAATACTAGCCCATTCAAAGGTAACTGCATAAATGAGGGTGACTAGAAAGTCACTGTGCATACTCAGGGGAAGGCACAGGCTCAGAAAAGACTTGAGAAGATCCCAAATTTACACCTCAGGCTGATTCTTGGGACAGACACAGCTTACAACAATTAAAAACAAAAATAAAACCCAGGAAACTCGGGGACAGGGAGAGAATCTGATATCTAGAGAGATCACAATATTAAATTCAAATGTCCAGTTTTCCACAACAACAACAAAAAAATTGCAAGGCATACAAAGAAATACGAAAGTATGGCCCATAAAATAAAGAAAAATAAACCAACAGAAATTATCACTGGAGAAAAAAAGTGATAGTAGATCTCCTAGAAAAAGACATTAAAACAACAGTATTCATAATCAAAGATCTAAGGGAAGTTGTGGAAAAAGTCAAGGAAATTATGTATCAACAAAATGCCGATGTCAATAAATAGCTAGAAAATGTAAATTGAAACCAAAACCTTTTTTTTCAGAGCTGAAAAATACAATAACTGAAATAAAACATCACCAAAGGGATTCAAAGACACATTTCAGCTGGTGTAGCCAATTTGAAGATAAGACATTGTCAATGATCGATCAGAGAACACAAAGGAAAAAGATTGAAGAGGGACAGAGGCTACAGAACCTGAGGAATATCATCCAGCAAGTGAACGTGCACACTATGGGAGTCTGTGAAGGAGAAAAGAGAGAGAAAGGGGCAGGGAGACTATCTGAAGAAATAATGGGTAACCACTCAAATCTTATAAAAGACACAAAACTCAACAAACTCCAAGCAGGGTAACTCAAAGAGACCCACACTGAGACATATTAAAATCAAATGTCAAAAGTCAAAGCCAAAGAGAGAATTTTTTTATTTTTTAAAAAATTAATTTATTTACTTTAATTGAAGGCTAATTACTTTACTATGGCAAAGAGAGAATTTTGCAAGAAGCAAGAGACAAAGACTTGTCACATACGAGGGATTCTGAATAAGATGGTCAGATTTCTCATCAGAAACTTTGGGGGTCAGAAGGCAGTGGACTTCTAAGAAAAAACAAATCTATTAATCAAGAATTCTATATCTGACAAAACTGTCCTTAATAGTGAGGGAAAAATTAAGACATTCTCAGATAAAGAAAAGCTGAGGGAGTAAATTACCACTCAGTTCGCTTCAGTTACTCTGTCGTGTCCTACTCTTTGCGACCCCATGGACTGCACCACGCCAGGCTTCCCTGTTCCTCACCAACTCCTGGAGCTTGCTCAGACTCATGTCCATTGAGTCGGGGATGCCATCCAACCATCTCATCCTTTGTCATCCCCTTCTCCTCCTGCCCTCAATCTTTCCCAGCATCAGGGCCCTTTCCAATGAGTCAGTTCTTTGCATCAGGTGGCCAAAGTATTGGAGTTTCAGCTTCAGCATCAGTCCTTCCAATGAATATTCAGGACTGATTCTCCTGGCAATCTTGATTCCAGCTTGTGCTTCATCCAGTCTGACATTTTGCGTAATGTACTCTGCATATAAGTTAAATAAGCAGGGTGACAGTATACATCCTTGATAGTTGTAGGGATTAAATTATTCAATGTATGGAAAGTGATTGGAGTTCCTGATACATAAGAAGGCATTTGATAATAACATAGAAGTTAGCATGCTCAATAGACGTTAGCCATTATTGTTAATGTTGTTGTGCCTCATGATTGTCAATTTCATACTTTATGATTAAAATCATCTTAGGTGGGCCTTCTCTGGTGGTCCAGTGGGCAAGAGTTTGCCTGCCAATGAAGGAGACACAAGTTTGATCCCTAGTCCAGGAGGATTCCACATGTTGTGGGGAACCTAAACCTGTGCGCCACAACTACTGCGCTGGCGCTCTAGATCCCGGGCACCACAACTAGAGAGTACTCCCAGCTCACTACAACTAGAGAAAGCCCACACGCCGCAGCAAAGAAGATCAAATGCAGCCAAAAATAAAAATAAATAAATGAGATTTTTGAAAGAAAAATCATCTTAGAACACACATTTCATTCTTAAGATAGCCTTAGTTCAGTAGTTATATTTGTAGTGATGTAGGTTTAGGAGAGATGCCTTGATGTAAAGATGATCCATCCCACTAGACCCTGCCAAGGCAAGGATGAGAAAGGATCCAGCAAGAGAGGCTGTTTCTTAGAAACGCATAGTTCCTTATAGACAGAATTTTGGAAGAGCACAATGGGAATAGAATTCCTGATTCTCCTTAGTCACCATGGGCATGTTCAGGATGAGAGCTGAATTTTAAGGTAGGAAAGACCTTTAACACAGTGCAAGATCTGCAGGCCCCAGAAATACGTACCGAGTGACTGTGATGTGCATGATGCCCTGCAAAACACTTAATAGCCAACAGGCAGCATTGCCAGAGTGAAAAGCCCCTGGCGATGGTAAAGACTCTTCATTTTCTATGATGAAAATGATCTCTTCACTTTGTAAATTTACCTATATCTTATGGAGATGATTTTATCTTGAACATATGCCTTAGACATTTAAAAATAGGTAAGCTGGCAGGTCCAGAATTCATTAATATTTGGCAAAACCTCTCTGTTTCTTATCGGTTTCAGTCTTCTGTGTTGTTTTATTGAATTAAGACCACAGAAAATTTTCTCTTTGTAGCCAGCAAGTTTTAGGCTTGCTACCACACTACTGATACTATAAATGGAAAGTTATTAGAAAGCCGGACTTGCAGAAAAACATGCAGTTTTCTACTTTATTCTGCCTCTGAAAACCTGGCCAACAGGAACAAGCCACCATCAGGCAGCTGGACTGCTGACCCTCTTTGTAAACACAATATTTTAGTCACTCTTTATAGGCAACAGATAAAAGAAGCAGTTGCTACTTTTAAAATCCTTCTTCTTTCTTAATGTGTGGAGTTTAAAATTTTAAACACTCTTTTACTTGCCAAAGGACAAAATCTGCTTAAGGGCAAAAACAGTTTAAAGAACAGGGGGCAATATTTTCCAGTATTTTAAATGTGTGTTCTGTTGGACCCAATAATTTTGCATTTAAGATTTTATCTTGTAGATGTACACAAAGATGTATGTTTAAGATGTTTATTGCGGTAAAGTTTATAGAACAAAAACCTGGAAACAATCTGTGTCCATAGTGTTAGGAAAATTTACTACCCCTCATAATGGATATAGGTAAACTACTTAAAAAATTTATAAGTATTGATACGAACCAACCAAGATATACTCTTGAGAGAAAAGGGTGAGATGCAGACATTATGGGCAGGATGATTACATTTGTGAAAACTGATATTTACATACACTCACTTGTGTATGCTTAGGAAATTTCTGGAATGATACAAAGTTGTTTTTTAATTTACTTATTTTAATGGAGGATAATTACTTTTCAATATTGTGGGGGTTTTTGCCATATGAATCGGCCGTAGATGGAATGATACAAAAGTGTTAATAGATATCCCTAAGGAGATAGACTAGAGTCTTATGGAGAAGAAAAACATTTTTTATTTTTCAAGTGTACCCTCATATACTGTTTGAATGTTTTACCATATACTTTATTTTTATAAGGTTAAAATCAGTCTTGACCTCTTTTTTATTTCTCTTCTATGTTTTGTCTTAGCCAGATAATTAACTTCAACTATTTCCTTAGGTTTCTCTAGAGAAATCTAGATATTTAATGGGAAAGAAAAGAAAGAATTTTTGAATATAGGCTTTTTGGAGAAGTTTTAAAAGCTACTAAGAAAGTTTCTATCCCTTGTCACAGGATTGAATACAGTGTTTGCTATGGGTTTTTCACAGTGGCCCTTGGTCAGATTGTAGTCATTTCCTTCTATTCCTTGTTTGTTGAGTGTTTTCATTATGAAAAGGTGTTAATTTTGTCAAATGCATTTTCTGCATTGATTGAGATAATCGTGTTTTTTTCCTTCATTCCATTAATGCAGTGTATTGCTTCTTTCGTTGCAGAGCATGGGCTCTAGAGTACATGGGTTCAGTAGCTGTAGTACATGGGCATTTTTAGTTGTGGTGCCCCGGCTCAGTTGTCCTGCAGCGAGATCTTAGTTCCCCTGCTGGGGATTGAACCCATGTCCCCTCCAGTGGATGGAGGGTTCTTAACAACTGGACAACCAGGAAAGTCCTGTAGACTAATCATTTTTTAATGTAAAGTCTCTTAAATCATGTAGCAATCAAAAAACAGAAATATGTTGCTATTGTTATGATAATACTAGATTTTATAATTACCCATGTATTTACCTTTACCAAGACCTTGATACAGCTTTGAATTACTGTCTGATCTTCTTTCATTGTGACCAGCAGGACTCCCTTTGGTATTTCATATGGGGCAAGCCTAGTGGTGTAAAAGCTGGCTTAAAACTCAACATTCAAAAAATGAAGATCATGGCATCCCGTCCCACTACTTCATGGCAAATTGATGGGAAAACAAAGGAAAGAGTGACAGACATTATTTTCTTGGGCTCCAAAATCACTGCAGATGGTGACTGACAGTCCTGAATATTCATTGGAAGGACTGATGCTGAAGCTGAAACTCCAATACTTTGGCCACCTGATGCAAAGAACTGACTCATTGGAAAGGGCCCTGATGCTGGGAAAGATTGAGGGCAGGAGGAGAAGGGGATGACAAAGGATGAGATGGTTGGATGGCATCCCCGACTCAATGGACATGAGTCTGAGCAAGCTCCAGGAGTTGGTGAGGAACAGGGAAGCCTGGCGTGGTGCAGTCCATGGGGTCGCAAAGAGTAGGACACAACTGAGCTTAACTGAACTCCTACAACAACTCTATGAGGAAGGCACTATTATTAAGTTCATTTTACTAACAAGAACAATAAGGCACAGAGAGGTTAAGTAAATTCACCATGGTCACACAGCTAGTAAGTGGAAGAGAATGGAGATCTGAATCCTTCTCTCTGATTTCAAAGCCCCTGTCCTTTCTTTCAGGATCTGGAAAAACTCTATTTCCCATGCCTCTCCTCCACCAGCTAAAAAAGGAAAAAGTCAGAAGCAATGTGCCACATCTGGAACTAATAAATAATGATTTCAAAACGCAAGGCATGTTACCTTGTCTGAATCCTGAATTATTTTAACATTCTCTGTACCAAAATTTTCACCATAAAGTTTAACATGTCTCAGGGAAATCTCTGAGAGGCCAGTGAGCTTTGGCTCTTTATAGATGTACTCCTTTCTATCTTCTTCTTCAAAAAAAGACTATTACAAAGTTAAACATACAATAATTTATAAACATTATGAGCAAATACAGCATTTAGAGAACATCTACTAAGTACAGCAATAATCTACTTGAAATAGATTTTAAATAATAGTACTAAAAGCCATATGCATATATTGTAGCTGAAATAAATGAGAACTTTCAAACTTACAGTCATATGAGCATATCATTGGCCTGAAGGTTTTTACACTCAATTTTTCATCACTCGCATACTTACCTGATTTTTATTTGAAAACTTTCAGTACTAGGTATTAAATAAACATTTAAGAAGCTTGACTGAAAATGAAACTGACGGAAACATTCAAATCTTATATGTTGTCTTCTGACCTAGTGGATTTAGATACGGAAACCAAAGTGAATGTTACTCTGAGAAAAGTGTCACACCTGCTGTTGTGACAGGTGCTTTATCTAGACAGAATCCTAGAACCAGTAACTGCTGCTATGGTAATCTAATAATTCAAAGGTGAATGTTTAAAAAGGAAAACAACTTGATGAACTAAGTATACTTACTTGGCCATAAAAGGCAACTCTGAAGAAAGTGCCTAAAAGTCTTTTCTTTGTGTGCATAACCTCCAAAATTTTTGTGTAAGCTCCATGAAGAGTTCTATAAACTTGAGTAAGTTTCTGAAAATATGAGAATAAACAAATTAGCTTTATCTTTTGGTTAGTTATGAAATGTCTATGATAAATGCATAAGGGGCAAAAAGCAATACTATTTTCTTTCCAAAATGGTTTTGGTGGGGTCATTCGCACTCCCTTCTCCCATGGTCACAGTTAGAAAAAACTCCTTAACAACTTTAGGTGAGAGGGTAGAGCTTAAAATGGTCAAATAACACTGTAATTCTAAATATCATGTTCATGTCATTCATATCTCAATGGTAGTATATACACTAAAAATACTGTGTTATTGACTACTTTTTTCTTTATGTCTGAATTATTGTAACTGAAAGAGAAGCAAAATGCTTTGCTAGAGCCCTAATGTAGAGATGGGAATAAACAATCATGCAAACACTTTAGGAGTGGAAAGTAAAATGTAGACACAAAAATAACAGTAAAAGCCTGAGTAAGGAATGATTTTATAACAAGTTCACATATACTTCCAAGGAATATATTCTTCTACACACTCAGAAAAAGGGAATGCACTGTGCAAAGAACATTATCTAGAATATGAAAAGACAACATACGGAACAGGAGAAAATGTTTGCAAATCACATATCTGATGTTTTCATATCCAAAAAATATAAGGAAGTCTCATAGTTCAACAAGGAAATGACAACCCAATTTAAAAGTGAGCAAAGGACTTGAATAGACATCTCTCCAGAGAATATATAAAAATGGCCAACAAAGACATGAAAAGCTGTTCAAAATCTTTAGTCATTAAGGAAATGGAAATCAAAACCACAATGTGACACCATTTCACATTCACTAGGATGGCACATTCACTAGGTTCTAATAAGAACCCCAAAACACAAGTGCCAATCAGATGTGCTGGTGGGAAGGTAAAAGGGACAACAATTTGGTGGTTTCTCAAAAGCTATAAATAGAATTACTATCTGACCCAGCAATTCCCCTCTTAGGTATCTATCCAAGATAAACAAAAACATGCCCATACAGAAACTTACTCATAGCTGTTTACAACAGCACTATTTATAACAGCCAAAATGTGAAAACAACCCAAACATCCAAACAGATTTTGGCATAGCTATACCATGGACTATCACTCAGCCATGAAAAAGGAATGAAATGCTGATATAGGTTACAGTTTGAATGAACCTCTAAATATTATGCTAAGCAAAAGAAGCCAGACACAAAAGGTCACATCTTGTATTCATCTTTATTATGACACATCCAGAATAGGCAAATCCATAGATGGAAAGCAGATTAGTGGTCACCAGTGGGGTGAGGGAGGGGGTGAAGAGTGATTCCTTGAAGGAGATGGAGTTTTTCCTGGGATGATAAAAATGTTTTGAACGTAGAGAGAGGTGGTGAGAGCATAATATTAAGAATGTGCTAAATGCCATTAAACTGCAAACTAGAAAACGGTTCACTGTATGCTGGTGAATTCATTTCAATACTAAAAGGGGAGCACGGAAGCAGATGTTCTTTCTTTCAATACTTTCTTTCCATACTATTTTCTGCAGTTGAAGTCAATTTGAGAGAAGTTTTCCTTCCTTTATGGCTGCTGTGGCTGACACTTTTCAGCCCATCCCATAAAGAACACTGAAAAATTACTTCATCTCATGCAGGATGCTTCAGAATCTATACAGACCCTTGCCTTTCTACAAGGAAATAGGAGCAGTTCCCCAATAGAACCTATTGTTTCCTTTAATGTGTAGGGAAGATATATTTTTCTTTTTTCCCTATTAGTCAATTGAGTAGCAAAATGTTCTCTGGGTTTCTAATAACCTGGTCTTCAACTTAAGAGTAAGAGAGTAGGTACTTTGGAACTTTTACAAAGGTTCTTAGGATGCAATGCTTTGACAGAGAGAGCAATGCCACTTCTTCTCTTGTCTCGTAAGTTATTTTTTGTCACCTGTATGACATAGATTTACGTACTTAACTCTCACTTTTTAATATAATCACTTGAGCTGCACTATGATTTTTCAGGCATGTCCTGATATATACCAAAAGCAGGGCAAAGAGTAGAAAGACCCAGAACCCAGGAAGAAAAAGTGAGTTTGATAAGAGCCAATTTGGAGAAGAGATTAGAACACTACACATATGAAATTAAATGTATGTTTTCACTCTGGGACATTTCAACAATGAAAGGCTACTTGTTATATATATTTAAGGATAGACTGCTTTGCTTTTAAAAATGGCTTGAGTCCTAAATCACCCCTTCCCAGCATAGCAGGGATAGAAAATTATGATATGGACTCAGAGTCTTGAATATAAAAAGTCCTGTTGAGTGCTGGTGGCAACAGCTATACTACTATTTTTTAGTAATTCCCCTTGATCAAAGATTTATATGGCAGACAAAACTGGAAAAGCTCCTCATAAAAAGGTAATTCCAAGTAACTTATTATCCCCCCACTATCATCTGTTAGCAACTTTAGCCTCACCATCAAATTGAAAAGAAGTGATTCACACCTTTATCTCTTCCCTGACCACATGGAAATCCAGTAACTTTTTTTGGTGTCTGTGAAGACAACATGGATTGTTCTCTGTCATGAGTGGAGAAGGGAAGATTGCTAGGTAAAACTGCTGTGAGAAAAACTGGCATAATGTTAATTTTAATTTTTATTTTAAACATTGCATCCTTAATTTCATTTGGAAAATTTAAATGAATATAAGGTAGGACTGGAATTTTAGGACTTTTCAGAATTTTTTAAGGTAGTAATTTAAGACCAAAATAAAATACATAGGTGAATGATGCAAATGTTTCAGTTACTTACCTCAAACTCGCGACGCTTCTCATAAATTGGAATGATCAACTTGGAAATTTCAGAAATTACTTCATAACGCTCTGCTTTCCATAATCCATCCACACATTGTTCTAGCAATTCCAGCAAAACTTCCTGCATTGAGAAAAAATGCAATCAAGAATTAGAGATACTTGAGCTCTGCACAAATATAGTTTGAACTATTTCAAATGAATAAAAAACAGAATGTACTAAATTTAAGGAAATGCACAGGAGTACAGCTGTGTAATGATATATTCTAAATGACATGCTTGAAACACCTGAAATTGAAACCACATTCTTAAAGTATGAAATTAATATTGACAATAGAAAACTACTATTTACTTTGTTTAGCATGTAATAAAGATGTTAACCAAACTAACAAATGGTTAACATGTTGAGAAATACTTTTAAAAGGGGGTATGTTTTTCCAAACTGAGGATATTAAATGTCTAACAGGGTAAATTCCACTAAGCCTATAAATGTCCATGATTTTTGCTTTCTACTAAAATTATATTTACACACAGAGTCTTTAGGTAAGTTCACAATTTTCAAGCTGCTGCATCAGTTACATCAGGGTTTATTAAAATGATGTGAGTTTGGTCAATAATGCTTCCTGTTGGTTCTAAAACCAGTGAGAATGATAGTATAATACCTCAAGATAGAGATCTCTGACCTTGCCATAATCACCGCTACTATAAAACAACCATCATAGCATGTTCTCAACAATGAAAAGATGATGCCAATTACTCATGCTATCCATAAGTCTTAACAGTTTGTTTCTATCTTAAAGAGATGAATTTCAGACCTATAAAACTGACTGCTACAATGGCTCTTAATGTATCTCCTCTAGTCAATTCTGAATTCATCTTCTTTCTAAACCAGCTCTTTCCCTTGCATTTCCTACCTAGCCAGGGGTCATATCCTATAGACTCTGAACTAAAAAACTAAAAGCAATTTTGACTTTGCTCTTTGTTATAAGTTGAACTGTGTCCCTCACAAAGATAAGCTGAAGCCCTAACTCCCAGTGCCTCAGAATGTAACCTTATTTGGAAATAGGGTCACTGGAGATAATGATGAGTGAAGGTGACAGCACACTGGAGTGACTTACTTACAGGAGTGATTTACTGGGTGAGCCTTACTCCAAAAGGACAGAGACAAACAGGGAGAACACCATGTGACTACAGAGGCAGTGACTGGAGTAACGTAGCTACGAGCCAAGGAAATCCAAGGCCAACAGCTACCATCAGAGCGAGGAGGAGGCAAGGAAGGCTGCTACCCAGAGTCTCAGAGGGAACAGGGCCCTGGTGACACCTTGATTTCTAACCTCTGGACCTTAGAACTGTAAGACCATAAAGTTCTATTATTTTAAACCACCCAGCTTGTGTACATTGTTATGGCAACTCTAGGAAACTAATACACTCTCAGTCTTGCCTCAACCTATAATCAGTTCATTGCCAAGTTCTGCCACTTTT